ATTCAGTACATAATATTCTTTTCATGTTGCTATGTTATAGTACGAAAATGGACGAAAATGAACGAATTACAACCACGCCTATTTCCCATATAACATTATTTTAAATTCCATCTGATTTTTTCACTTTCCAGTATGCAAATCAAGCAGCAATGATTATATCGGCGTAAAACTTTGCGAATAATACGTTTTAAGTATACCACCTTGTGACCAAAAATTATCTAAATTGAACCAAAACTGTTCAAACCCCTAGGTACTGAATATGTGGTCCCCAGTGCCTATAGTTGACTTTTTACCGAAAATATCAGTCAACAAGGTGGCAAAATCTACAAAGAAATCTAAAACGAGTATACCATTTGACTTTGCGAGAGTATAAAATGTTCGGTTACATCCGAACTTAGCCCTTCCTTACTTGTTTAATATAAAGTTTTGCCAACACCTGAGAGTGTTTCCTCGGATTTGATACTTATACCCTAATTTAGCGCATCCTTACTTGTTTCCTAATATCAAAAAAAAAAAAAAATGGAGTCACATAGTACTTAACCATTCGATATACGCAGTATTTATTTTCAGATATATATTTATCAATAATATTGCAATAGTTCGGTGATATTAACTAAGGTCCCCAATCGGTTGGAAATTCGACCAATTTTTCAAAAAAATTACCTATTATATTGTATAATGCACTTGAAATAAATCTAAAAATTTCTAACTCATCAAAATGAAACGAATGATATCAAAGGTTATTTCCACATCAATGTGGTTTTTTTTTTTACAAACAATACTCGAAACTTAATGTGCTTCTTTCCACCGGTATATATTATATCAATATGACAGTTGACATATGTAACGGCAACACAGTCCAAAAAGCAACACAAACTTTTTTGTTAGCGTAATTATATAAAGATACTTAACCAACTAATGAGAAGCAATAATTACAACAATTGTTAATAAATTCTTATATCTAAACTACTAGCAACATATAGTCTTTTAAAAATAGGTTTAATATTATATTTACACGAGCGAAGTATGCTCTAAATTATCCTATTGCAGGTAATTACCGGAAAGCGAAAAATCATTTAATTTGGGAGGCCTCAACTCATATTTGAACGAAAATGTATGTTACAGGTTAATTATTTTCTGCTTCTTAAAACTTCTTTCATAAAGTCAAAAAAGTTAAAGAATAGAGAATTAATATTTGTAAGTTTCTTAATGTTATTGAATGCGATCGAATGGAGGATCGTCGAACTTAAAGCGACTAGTAGGAACGTAATTTTACAGATTATTTATATATCAATATTATCGGTAGAGCACTTCTCTTAGTAGGACTAAAAAATAGCAAAGCTAAATCTAGAAAGATAAATTTGTGGTCTCAATATATCGAATGTCTAAATTATTGTCGAATTATTGTTTCATTATATGATCTACAAAAAATCCACTGTTAGTGAATCTTGAGAAGTACGCAGCATATATTTCAATCAGAACATTTTCTTTATGGGTAGTAATAAAGAATCCCTCATTCGTACTTGTGTTCAATATTCATCCTGAATTAACATTCTTTATTAGCCGAAATTGTATAAAGTTTAGTATCATATGAATTTATACTACGGTCATACGTCATTTAGCTTTACTCTGATAACAACTTTATATACGAAATGCGTTTAAAGCTAACCTGACTAACAGAACTCACTCTATTCCTCATATTAGTGCGGGGACATGGTATGCACCGTTATAACCCATTTTGGGAACTTTATTAAATTATGCTAACCCAAATATTCCAGCTATTTTATCGAGATATAATATATACTTCTCTAATCAATATGAATGGTGTAAAGAAAAGTGTAAAGACGAAAGTCCTGTTATAAGGTACATTGGGTATTGGAGAAGTATGGGTCGGTTCAATAGTAGGTTCGAACATACTAACATTCGGTTTATGGGAGTGTGAAAAGTATGTATTTATTTGCGTGAAAATGAAAATCGATTCTTTAGAGAGTTAGTTCATTTTAAGTAGTTCCGCAATGAATCATTATTAGTTGGCGTGGTTTTTCATCCAATTCTATAGCATTAAATGACAAAATTGAATTTGTCCACCAATTACTCATCTTATGGCTTATATGAACAGAACCGCAGACGGTTTGACAGACAGGCATCCGAAAGTTAATTCATCTCTTTATCCAGATAATTTTGCTATCAATAATCTTATAGAAGTCCTGCTTAGCCTGAGTGTTACAAGCACCCGTTAGGTGAACAAAACTATTGTAGTATCACCTGTATATGAAGTTGCAAAAAAAGTTTGGCATAAAAATAAAACTGAAATACCAAGTATTCAAGCATATAATTATATTATACGAATATAATATTATATATCAATCCGTAACAACTATTAAATCGTATTGGAACCAAACCTACAAGTATTATCGTTTCCATGAGGTTATGTGACATACATTTTTTCTTCCCTCTTCGATTTGATTCTATTTTGCGTATTTATAATTAATTTTATCGAATGCCTCAAATATAAAAAAAAAAACTGAACACGAGTTCCTTATAACCACATTGGTTATTCAACTGGTCTCTATATTAATTCGTTTTTTTTATTAATGTTTGAACATATGTCAAAATAAACAGAACGTGCAGAAAGCGAATAGAACATGCAACCATCATACGCACTATTCCTGGACATATTTATTATTAATTTGAATTATCAATTAGTTCGTACATATGTGCGTTACCTCTGTGAATAGGCGATTTTTGAATTTATGTTCTGTTGAAAATTAGCTGCTAAATTAAAAGACACCGATTTATTCGTGAGGTTTTAAGCATTTGACTCCATTTATTGCGTATATGAATTTTAGTTCCGGTCTGATAGCAAAGCCCAGGCTTCATAATAGTTCGAAGTATGCTTAAATATAAGATATTGTGCGTCAATTATATGGATAAACTTTAGGCTCAAAAGTGGATACAATTAAAATGGTTGCATTCAGTGCCAACATTTTAGTGTTACTGGATCTGCTTAGAAACTTTCCCTTCTTGATTGAAACTAAAGTTGTATAACGGATCTTCAGTTAATCTATAATGGCGTCCAGTCGTTTCTGCTAGAGAAGAGGTATTGCCGCCAATTAGAAATAAAAAAGTAAACCCAAGTCTCTATCCACTTTGCCTATAACATAAAATTGGTCTCCTTCTTCCTTTGCTCTCAGAAGTCGGTAGAGTATATAATGCTTTCCGAACTTGAGACTCCATCCATTGAAATTATTATGGTCTTACACCATTTGTTGCGCATAAATTTACATATGGAAATCTATCGGAAAACTGTTCTCTTCCACACACCGAATAGAACAGATGTTATAATTAATTGTCTTAATTTCAACTCCTTATACCAGGACAGATAAAGGTTTGTCCAGTCTTGTTAAAGTTTCAGTTTTGTTAGTCGAGAGACAAGTTTATCTCTTAATCACTGTGGGAGAGTGAGAATCTGTTTCGTATTGTTATTAGTGTTTTTGTGGCTTCCATATGAACGAAGCTGTTTTCATCACAAAAAATATGTCAACCGTGGCGTTTAAAACTACACTTGAATGTGATGACTTGTTATTCAATGATATTTTGTCTTATCTAAACTTCTGGTTGTATAGTCATATGACATCGGAGTCATCAGTTTACCTAGAAATTGGATACTTTTATGTACCCAAATTATTGATTTGTTTTGCCTGAAATATATTCTTCTTTAGAAGAGAGAAATACCATAACAGTCCTGTCTGAAGCTGTGTTCATTATTTGTTTTCCGGGTATATTGAATTTACACATAGGGGCTTGAAGGTAAAACCACCGTGATGTCGAAATAATCACATGGGGAATTATATGCATTTGTGAATTTAAAATATTGTAATTTTTGTGAATATATGATATATCGAATATACATATGTACATTTTAGAATATTCTCCGAAAATTCAAAGCTGATCTGACAAATAGTTTCGGAAATATAAGCGTATTTGTAAGAATTTTAATATTCTCGCAAAAAAACAAAAGAGGGGTCCAAGGACCCTCACGTAAAGACCAAGAGTAAAACCCGAAAAAGTGCATGAAACTACTGTCTCTCAGCAAAGTTCATATTGTAGCACTTGTAGGGGTTTTAACTAGCCATTGTCCATTAGGCATACATGTGAAGAGACTACAAATATTGACGTCAGTTGTCAATATTGTCTGGAAGAAGGTAAGTTAGAAATATTTCGATACTTTCGCCTCGACTGTCCAGCTTTTGGCAGACTTCGGTTAAAGCAACTTTTACGCAACTTTTATGGCATACCTTCGCTGAACTGGCCGTATTGGCTGGTATGGTTATTAGCTTCATAGAATTGCTGTAGACCCGCAGCGCATCATATATGTTAATAGAACAGCAATTGAGCTGCTTTCGATTTAGTTGCTGATAATTAGCGTTGCTTACAAAACTTCGTAGGGAAAATTTGTTGGCACACCTAAGCATATGCAAGGTCAGTAAATTTATTATGCTTTTTGTATTTTTGGTTAAAAAAGGTTTTGGAAAACAATATTAGAGCACAAAAACAAAAAAAAACTGTGTTGTTTTATTGCTTAAAAGTGCATTGTTTTAGTCGCTAAAAAACACAGACTTTCGCTAAATAAAAATCGAATATGTCGCTTTATGTATTTTCACTTATTTATGATTGCCTTAATCATAGTCGAACGCACAAAAAAGCAACAAAAGCCAAACTAGAACAATCCAACCGCGCATACGCACACTTGTCATCGCCTTGAGCAGCCACGCAAAACAGCTGAGGCGTTCAACCATTACAACAACTTGCGGTCACACAAAGTGTGAACACAGCAATGCAAACAAATTGAATTGTTTATATATTTTTGGGAAAAACAATTTTTTTTAAATCCACATTTTCACTTTGTTTTATTTGCATGCCACATTCGTAATAATAATAATAATTGTAGTCAGAAATATTTATTTGTAAATGTGTACTTGACTAGCGGGGTAACCTACCATGACTTATTTGTATGAGCGGCAGGCCAATGTCCGCGCGGCAGCAGCCGAGCAGAACCAACACGGTGATCGACACATTTTCAGCCAGCATGTTGACAGCAAGTGTTGTGTTTTTTTGATTTGCGGTTGAACAGATTGGTTGGTGGATTTTCGGCGTGGCGTGAAGAAAGAGCACGGTGACGGCTCGGCTACGTAAAACGGCGTTTGTTAAATAATTGATGAGCTTTTAATGGTTTTTGGCGCACCAAATTGACGTCACTTTGCGCAGTGACACTTTGTTGCGACTTTAACATTTTAATTGCATTTTCGATTTTTTCTCTTCCACTTTTTAGATTATTTGGATTCTTTTTGTTCTTGTATTTTCTTTTCTTTTAAGTATTTTCTACGTTTACAAGTACGTGGAACATTTGAGAAACATATTTCGAGATATTTTTATAAAAATCCCTACTTTTCCTTATGGAAACGGAGTAAAATTGTTCTTGTAAATTTCTCTCGCACTAATCCTTGAGCTGAAAGCTTGATACGCTTTCCTATATATATAAATTAAAATAATTTCAAAGTTTTCATAAAAAAAATATTTTAATGAAAACAACAAAAAGTTTCCACTCTCATTCAGCATGTGCTTTGCAATTCATGCGCAGCTAATTCGTTTAGCAAAGTAACTCTTGCCTAGACAAGCATTTCATTTAATTACACTTCAAAAAATTTCGCTTCGCACACTTCCCCCTTTCAACCGTGGCACACACACGCACACATGTCTATCATAGATCAGTATATACTCGTATATGATAACTATATACACGCGAAGGAAGCAAAAGTTTTTTGAGTACTTTAACTTTTTTTTTTTTTTTTGTTCTTACTATTTATGATTTTTCATAATTTTCCGCACTTTTCCGCTTTAAGCAATTTTTTGCCGCTCGCACACCGTTGAATGTCTGTTTAGTACTGAATCATTTAAGCTCGCGTACGTGCGTCCAACGGCAGCCAATTCGGTCTCATAAACAAGCCTAACACACCCATACACCTGCATGCCCACACACACACATATGTTTGCCTGCAACTTGGCTCTAGTTACTAAGTTACTACCCCATTCATCAGTTTATACTTGACTATAGTTCCGCTTTGGTGCAATGTTTGATTTATTTGTTGCTGTTATTAGTGTTCAAGTGTATTTTTTGGCTTTAGTTTACTGTTTACAAACGCTCTCGCCCGCTTGTACTCTCGCCATGCTCTCTGTTTTGGTCGCTTCGATGCCTGGTCAGTTACCTATGGCAACAAAAATAAAGTGCACAGGTGCATCAACACACTTACACACATGCATACAAGTATGTATATATTTAATAATTTTGTTTATTTGGCGGAATTTTTCTTCCTCGTTGTACATTGAATAAAGCGATACACAATTTGTATGGGAGCACCCACCACTGTCTTTAAAATGCTGACACTCAATACACTCGCGTTTAAAATTATAATAAAAATGCGATTTTTCTCGTTTACAATGTACAATATTTTATTACATATAAAAGCCAGTTATTATTATTGCTTTTAAGGCATATCTGTAAAGTAATATTTTGGGCCGATGTCGATCGACGAGTTTATAATCGGCAGAGTAGCAGGATCGTTGTTGTCGAAAGTGTATAAGCGAAAAGTTGATGTGGCGCTCAGGCCCGTAGACGATAAGCGAATGTAAGATGGTATGTTGTGTTGTCCTGTGTGGTGTCATCTGGTGTGGTGTATTGGTGAGTATGTGGTGGGCATTATTAGGGGGCGCCAGTTTTTCCCGAGTAGAATGGTGTACTTGGAGGAGGGAGTTTAACTCATTTAAACACAGTGGCTGTTGGATTTTTTCTCAGAAATATTCAATCACAATTTTTATATGCCAGCGCTTCTTTGGAGTTAGGATGATTTAACGATTTAATCTGATAATTTGTATAACAGTATTTTAATTTACGCTAGAACTGATCTGTTGGATAGCATTGCAGGCTATCGCGAAACAGATAGTGATGGTGGAGTCCAATGTGCTGCAAATTGAGTTATAGCCGGTTTTTATTAAGGTATATTATAGGTCATACACTCACTTAGTTTTATTGCTATATTTTACTCCGCGATATCTAAAATTATATTAAAATTATCTTCGAATGAGATATATGTGAAATAAGCTCAACCGAAACACTTAAATTCAATATATTGAGTTTATGTCCACCAGAAGATCGGAATTCATTATATTAGGTATATGAGGTATAAATCAAGGTCTACACAACCCCACTCATTTTGCATTAATATAATTTTATAACTTAAAAAAAAATGTTTGTTACTAAATTTCATTACAATATCACGCATATTGACCAACTTAAAGGGTTTAAAGTCAGATGAAAAGACAAAGTTACTATACAAGGGGCCGAGAAAGGTCTAGGCTTGGTGCATTAACCTTCAACATTGTTCACTTGTACTCGAGAACATATTTTCAAGCAGTTTTATAAATTTATAACTCACACACAGTCTTCGACTATCTTTCTTATTGAGCGGACGTGTTTTCTTGACTACGGTTTTCTTTTGTGCCTTTCGCTTTGTTTTCGTAATTCACCTTGCATATAAGTGCACGTGCTTTTGGTTTGTTTCGTTCGTACGGTAACTCGCGTTGCTAGCGTACAAAAAACCAGTGTATATTGGTGATATTTTGTTTATTATGGCCCCAGGGCCTCCTAACCTCGGGGAAAATAGGTTTGCTTTGCTTGCCTCTAGCCCCAACCCCAAAAGAAAAAAACTGACATATAAAAATACTCTTGCTTCGCTGTGCATAAAAGCTTAGAATCAATTAGTAAGGAAATTGTGTCTATCACTGAATTGCGTGATGGTAAACTACTTTTACTTGTTAAAAACCATAAAATTGCTGAAATATTTTTAACAACAAAGAAATTACATGGAATTTGTGATATTTCTGTGAAACTACATGATATTTCTGTGAAACGACATGACAATTTGAATTGCTCTAAAGGTACAATATATGCGCCATTCTTAAACGACGTTTCAGAAGAAGAAATTATCGATAATTTAAAAGATCAGGGAGTTACTTCCGTCTATAAATTCACTAAAAATCTGGAAGGCAAACAAAAACCTAGCGGAGTGATTCTCCTTTCATTTGACCTCTACAAATTTCCCGAAAAAATCTCATGGCGCACAATACGGATTAGAGCCTATTTCCCAAACCCCATGAGGTGCAAAAGTTGCCAACTTCTAGGCCACACAGCTAAACGCTGCAACAACAACCCAACATGCGACACATGCAATTTCCCACCCCATCCCCCTTCATCATGCAGCCGCACCTTCTGTGCAAATTGCTCAGGCGATCACCCTTCCTCTTCACGCTTTTGTCCCAAATACCTTCAATCGAAAAATATTTTAAAAATAAAAACAGAAAGAAAATGTTCAATGCGAGAAGCACTAAGTTTATACAAAGAACAATTACCCCCCACAACCACAAACTCTTCTTTCGCCTCTGTTACAAAAGAAAATACAAACAAAAAAAGTACAAACGTGATTTATCATCGCTCACCATCTCCCTCCCGGCCATTCCTCACAGACCAATCTCCAAAAACTGATCTTCTTCCACAACAAAAGAAAACTTCAAAAGAGAGCAATAACTACTATGTAATTAATACCCACCAAAATTCACCAATTGAAACTGCAAAACAAACAACTAAAAGCAATCCTAACTTAACGTTTCCCCAAACAAAAACAAACTCAACCAAAGTAAACATTCCACTCATTCCAAAAAAGTCCATTACCATCCTCTCCTCACATAATTATCACATCAGATAATGAAGATCAATAATTCTCAAAATTCCTTCTCACTTTTTTCTCTTTTCTCATATCGCTAAGAAATGTTCAAATTTCTGCAATGGAATATGAACAGTTTCTACAACAATTACACTGACCTAGAGTTACTCATAAAAGAGCAATCCCCAACTGTTATATCATTGCAAGAGACACACCTTTCATTTAACACCACAGCTGCAGTACCTAAACAATACTCTGCCTATTTCTCCAACCTAACAAAAAACCTTACTAGTAAGCAAGGAGTTGCTACTCTGATAAAAAAAGATATCCCACACAAATTTCTTCCTACATATTGTAATATCTCTACAATAGCAGTGGAAATTTTTATTGGATTTAAATTAACCATCCTAACAGTTTATATCCCACCACATCAAAACTTCAATATCAAAGAACTCCGCGATATAATCAGACCCATTCAAACACCCCTAATTATACTTGGCGATTTCAACGCCTGGAGTCCTCTTTGGGGAATGTACTAACCAAAGAGGTAAAATCCTAGAAGACCTTATATTAGCGGAGAACTTAACTATTTTAAACGACGACTCTCCCACACATTTTTCTACACACAATTCGTTCACGAATGTAGACCTGGTCCTTTGTTCTTCTGCTATCGCCCCCAAACTAAATAGCCAAACCTTAACTGAACTATATAACAGTGATCATTTTCCTATTATAACTCACCTATCAACCCCCTTATCTAACAAAGGTTCGGCAAAGCCGAAATTTCTGTTGGACAAGGCGGATTGGTCTAAATTTCAACAACTTTGTGAAAGTTATTCTGCTGCACATCCCCCCGTCAATAATATAAATAAAGAAACAGCTACAATTACCAAAATAATTAAAACCTCTGCCCACTTCTCTATCCCTCAAACGGGTAAAAAAGCTTTCAAAAGTCATGTGCCTTATTGGTCTACCGAGCTTTCAAAACTAAGAGAAGAAAAACAATTACTATGGACAGTATACAAAAAAACTCGCTCTATCCACAATTTGATAAAATATAAAAAAGCCAATGCAGTATTTCGAAAAAATATTAAAAAAGCGGACTTGCCTACAAAAACTTACCGAAGCTATCACTCCCTTAACAAGCCCCAAGAAACTATGGGCCGACATAAAAATGTTATCAGGCTCGTATTCGCAAGTTAACCTTAAATGTATCATGAGCCCGAATGGCCCAATTTTCGATTCAAAAGAGATAGCTAATCATTTCGCATCTGTATGGTCCGACTACTCGAGCGACTCAAATTTCCACTCCTCCTTTGTATTAAATAAAAACGAACTTCTCAGAAGAATGTATAGTAAAGACAACCCACCTGTACATATTACCGAATCAGACATAACCATCGCCGAATTCGATTTCACAATATCATCAATGTCAGGCAAGACTCCCGGTGCAGACAGAATTTCATACCCCATGCTTAAAAATTGCCCTTCAAGTCTCAAAAATAGAATTATTAAATTATACAACAATATTCTATGTCAAGGTGTCTACCCCCAAAGCTGGAAAAATGCAGTGGTAGTTGCCATTCCCAAATCCAATAATGTCTCAACAGATGTATTCGGTTACAGACCTATATCACTCCTCTGCTGCATGGGCAAAGTACTACAAAAAATTCTATCAAAACGAATGTCTGGGTACGCATTAAAAAACAACCTTCTCACCCCAAACCAAGTGGCATTTAAGGAAGGGCAAGGCACTATAGATGCTTTACTTTATTTCGAAGACTTCGCCAAAACTGCTTTATCGAAAAGAAATCACGTATCTACTCTCAGTTTGGATTTCGAAAAAGCCTTCGACAGAGTCGGTTTGCACGTTATCTTACAACAGCTTGAGAAGTGGCAAATTGGTGCAAAAATATTTAATTTTTTTAAATCTTTCCTAATTAATCGTAAAACCACGGCCAAAATCAATAACACCTTTTCAAATACGTACAATATGTACAACGGGATCCCGCAAGGATCACCATTATCTGTTATACTGTTTGTAATCGCATTTAACGAAATTAGTGTGATCATTTCTAAACATAAGCTCATCTCACATATTATTTATGCGGATGATGTGCTGCTTTTCTCCAAACAAAACAACCTAAATATTGTAAAACAAACTTTCTTAAATATCCTAACCGAAATTTCAAATTGGGCTAATGGTTCAGGTGCGAATATCTCTATAAACAAATGTAAATTATTCCATATTTGCAGAAAACACAAATGTAATAACTTCAATCTACAGTATAATATGTAAATATTGTAAATACTACTAGACTTAAATTTCTAGGTTTAATATTCGATAAGAGACTTACTTTTAAGGAACATTGTACACATCTTCGTAAACAACTAGTTTCTAGGCTTAATATAATTAAGTATTTATCATCAAAATATTGTTCAATACATATCACATCTCTTATTAATATCACAAGAGCTTTAATTTTATCTAAGATAGATTATGGTCTCCCTATCTACGGCAACTGTGCAAAAAGCAATATAAAGCAAATCTTTGCACCATATCATGCAACTGTTAGGAGAAGTATTTGTGCATTTCCGACATCACCAATAAAGTTTATTTTAACGGAAGCTGGACTCCCATCTATCGACGAAAGAATAACGAACACTACACAAAAACTTATTCCAAAACTGCTATTGTGCAATAGTAACCTCTTATATGGTATAGTAAAAGCCAAATGGACTGATGAAACAAACTCCAATATTGGCTCCACTATCTCTAGATGCATCAAACTAGCTAAAGATCTAGGTATTTCATCTGTACCGGTTGTAAACTTTATCTCAGCTGCACCATGGTTACTTAAAAAAACCTCGTTCGAGCTACAACTTCAAAAATATCAAAAGAAGAACACTAACTCCAGGGTATATCAAAGTTTGTTCAAAGAACTCATTATACAACAATACGCAGACTGGAAGCTCATATTTACGGACGCTTCCAAGACCGACTTCTACACGTCTTTTGCTATTGTTGATAACATTGGAAATACGTTAAAAGCTGGACAATTACCCAACTACTGCTCAGTATACACGGCAGAGGCAGCAGCCATATATAATGTATTACCTCTAGCTCGTGACTATAATACAAAAACGTTAATATGCACAGATAGCAAGTCTACAATCTCAGCTCTTCTTAATGGAACCAACAAGTCTTACCTAATTTCGCAAATTAGAAACATACTAATTAGTAACACAAACATAAAAATTATGTGGGTCCCAGGTCACGCTGGCATTACTGGAAATGTATGGGCCGATCATAACGCCAAACTGGCTGCAAAACAGTCATTGATTATCTTCGACTACATTGAAAAAAAGGATATATTCCGTTTAATCGCTTCACAGGAAAAAACCATAAAAGTTAATGCTTGGAAAAATGTGCAACATCACTACGCCATCTGCAATCAGAACGGGAATAAATCTGTCTACCCACCCTCAGGCCGATGCCATGACATCAAAGCCTTTGTTCGCCTTCGTCTTGGCCATACGTCATTAACGCACTCTCATATATTAAATGGAAACAGAATTCCACCCTGCACATATTGCAACTCGCCGACCTTATCCATAATCCATCTACTTGATGAATGCCCCTACTTCAACTCTGCAAGAACCAGTATCTTTCAAAACAATAAAGCTCTTGATTTACTAAAAGTAACATATATTGTAAATATTACCAAAATCTCTGAATTCCTATCTCGTACAAATTTAAAAAAATACATTTAAGCTAATCCTTCTTTTTCTAAATTTATTTATAACATATAATTTTTATTGCATAAAAACATATTGTTTGTAAATATTTTTTACACGGAATATATCATTTTTATTATTTAAGACCTTTATAATTAAAGCTGCGAGCTGAAAGCCTCTGAAGCTAGTGCTCCTTTTACTTATAATAATAAAATAATAATTGTATTATTATTTTTCATATAATAAATAAATAAATAAATAACTCACACACTGACCGACATATTCGGCATATGGTTTCTTAGAATATATTTTATAAAAATATTATTGTAGTATGTGGGAGTAAGGGTAGTACTATTCTATATTATACGCTAAAGTTTTTTGACAAGCATACTAACTATATCCTTCAAAGGTGATTTGTATATTGAAACGTGAAAGAAGGATAGGTAGGGTAGGCTTTACACCGTTACATGAAATTAGTAGAACGGCTCCTGAGGTCTGAGATTTTATCTTTAAGTGGTCGGTGCCACGCTAATTGTTCAATTTTGACACCGGCACATATAAATTCCTCTTGCACAAGCTCGGGTGTAAAATTCAATGCTTTGTGCGCATTTATTCCGTGACTTATCGCATATTTAGCTGTTTTTAACAAAACCGTTATATGGGGAGTGGGCGTGGTTATAATCTGATTGCACTTCACAGCGTCGGTAGGAATGCCACAAATATCTGTTTTAAGTTTTGCTATTATACCTTGAATGGTTTAGGAGATATGTACATTAAACCTATTAGGGAGTGAGATCACGCCCATTTTTTAAATAATTTTTGCCCATAGATGCCCCTTATTAGAGAGATGTCTTAATTTGACTTAAGTTACATCTTGCACGGATAGACACTTACCCGGATTTCAATTCATCTTGTCATCCCAATCATCTATGGTATACATATACACTCGTATAACCCTATATCTGTGTCGATTAGCTTTAGGGGATACAAACAACCGTTACGTGAACAAAACTAATATACTCAGTAGCAACATGTTGCAAGCGTATATAAATTTTGCGTAAAAATGGTATGTTATTAACTTAAATCATAGGTCGTAGAGTCACTACGGCCCATTACTATATTTTGCTTAAAATCCGAGAAATTGGTTCTTAATCAACCTAGTTAACTCAAACGAGATATATGTGATAGAAACTCCACCAAACAGACTAAATTTAATATAGTGGGTAAATAAATTCTTAAAATTTTCAATAAATTTTTAATCTGGTTATTGGCATAATTCCAACATCGGGATTAAAAAATGAAAAACATATATATGAATTAAAAAATTTGCAATCCTGATTATAAGGAGGAAACATTTGATTGTTTGTTTTAATGGATACTAAATACTTGAAGGATTTGACCGGATTCTTTCACCGTCGGGAAGCTACACTATCTCCGGTGAACATAGGCTATATTATATTTTCAAATAAGTAAGCGATCATTACTAAAACGCTAATAATGTAAGCCAAGGTGTAGAAAAATTATCTAAAAATTCCTTACATCGCGTGCGTTGCGAATACTATTGATTATAGAAGAATCGACTTTGCAGAACTTATAATTATCTCCAAAAAATGTCGCGGCAGCATATGTTGAACTATTATAGTTTTCTTTTATTTAAAAATAATAATTTTAATGTGATTCTGTAAAAGCTCTTTATTTGTACCTTGGTTTTAATATTTATCAAAATTAGTTTCTTATATGTACGTATGTAGGAAAAAAGTAAGTCCGGACAGAGAACTCTCGCTTTAGAAGATCACGCAATTCATTTAAAACATTTGATAACTTACCGAGAAATGATGATTGAAAATTGTTATGCTGTTGTTTATTTTAATATCTCTAATGATTTGATTTCACATTCATAACAGTTTTGGCTTTTATCTCGAGTTTTATTAATAACTCTCTTTTAACTCTACCTTGTTGACTAAGTTGACCTTCTCCATGAGTATGTTAATATTTTTTTTCATACATAGTTCGATAGATCTCTATTCCCAAGTATTGTGTTTTATATAAGGAGAAAGTGGAATTTATAATTTGGTGGGTGTCAATTATGTTTTGTATTAATATACGTTTAGTCTAATTAAAACGATCTTATGTTTTTATGATTCGCTTTTCCTCTAGTAGCAATTATTAATTATACTTTGGAAATGGCATCTACTATCGTCTAATATAACCCAAGTAAGCAATATAGAAACGCACACAAGCAAAATTTGTATTCATTGGCGCCATCTAGCGTCTATTAGTGGTGGTAAATGATAGGACCGCGATTATCTACACGTGTGCGTGTAGAAACTTACTTTCCTTTTCTCAGAGAATGTTAATTAATTCGTTAACATTTTCTGTTTATGTTCAGAAAAATTGAATTATGTAAAGTTGTGAAGTTGCTCAATTTAGTAGTTTATTCAGCTTTTATGGAATACTTGAGCGAACTTTTAACTATTACCTTTCTACTTTTATAAACAATTTTTAAGTCATTTCGGTATAATAGTGTGGATAAAAGCGGTTCAGAACTTCTCCTAGTCGTTATATACCTAATTAAATTATTTCTCACACTGGAGTGACATAAGTAATTTTATACTCACTAATAAGCAATTAGAAGCTTTCATAAACTACTGTTTGAATTTATGTAATATTTGTTTGATCTATGAGAATGTATCCGTATACTTACTTTAGAACATATTGACGACTAACATAAATCAACTCGCTGCTTAAATGAAGCAATTCGAAATCGAAATGCTAATTTGCACGGCAATTAAAGTCGGTGTTTGAGGAATTCACTAACGACAACAATTTAATGACACAAGCGATACCTTTGACAACTAACGACTGTCATTAAGCAACTGTACGATTCCTGTAAGTAAATAAACCAGTTTTGATTTAAGAATTGCTTTTGAAAACTGAAAAAAATTGAGAAATTAATTTACAGTAAAAGCTTTATTTCATACAAAAATGGCAGTAAATAATCGAGTATTAAACAGTATTTTAAATTACTTTTGAAAACAAAAAACAGTTTAATTAAAATTTACAAGATTTTATCCTTAAGTAAATATTAAAAAGCTAGCTTCATTTTGCTTAACCAGCGGCGGATTTCAAAGCACCAGGGCTCAATTTGCGGTTCTTGATCATATAGCGCGGCTTGTAACCATCCTTGTCGGCTGTGTACATTGTGATCGTTTCGGTGTCTGTCTTCTCATCGTACACTGTGTAGCTACCCATGACAACGAGCTGCTCGTCGTCGGTGTCGGGATTCATTATCACACCGATCTCCTCCCGTTTGCTGCCATTTGGTTCTTCCAAGCTATTGAAGGTAAATAAAAATAATAACAAGTAAGGAAGGGCTAAGTTCGGATGTCACCGAACATTTTATATTCTCGCAAAGACACGCGGTATACTCGTTAGAGATTTCCTTATATATTTTGCTTGATTTGCATAGTGGAAAGTTAAAGAATCAGACGGAATTTAAAATGGTGTTATATGGGAAATAGGCGTGGTTGTAGTAATAGAGGTGCTAAATCTAATTTGCCTCAGTGAATTTTATTATTATAGCTTTAGCGGCTTAGGAGATATGTACATTAAACCGGACCGGGACCACATCCACTTTTTAAAAATTGTTAAATTGTAGATACCCCTCCCTAATGTGATCCTGTATACCAAATAACATTCTTGCATCTTATTGTGGAGTTTAGTTATGGCAATTTATTCGTTTTTGATTAATGAATATTTAATAATTTCAGCATTTCCACAGTTTTTAGAGCTCAAAAGATACTTACTTAAAACGATAACCCTCCTTCGTAGGTGCCAAGCTATAGAATTCCGACATAAGGGTAGGATAAACATAATCCAGAAAACCGGAATTCACGGTGAGAGAGAGGGTGGCCAAAATGGCTACAGCAAGAAACTGAAAAGAGAACACAGGTTTGGATAACAATGTATACGTAATTTTAAGGGTGTTATATTTTTGGTTTAAAGATTTTATTCAATTTTGAGAAATAAAAATAAAATTAGGGTATTTAAAAACAAAAAAGCACTGTTCTAAGACCGTTGCACAAAAGTGATTCGTAACAAACCATGGTCCTACAGTTTTTGAAATTCAATAGTACATAGTACTACTACACGAGTACATTTTTATTGCATAGCAAACTCGGGTTTATTGCTTTGAATTTTTGTCGGGTTGATAATGAATTGTCAAATCCGAGATCAATGACCTAAAATTTTTCAGTTGTACGGCTAAATTTTTTTATTTTCATAAACAACAAATATGTGATATTAAAGGTGAGTTAGAGAAACCTTTATATTTATAGAAACGGAAGTTGTAACAAACGCTAAATGATTCAGATCAAAATATGGCTGAATGTGTTGGTTATATGTTTTATTGAGTCAATACTTTGATATCTATCCCCTATATTGTGTCTATAACTATATTCGTGCGGTTTTTTTTTCAAAATTTGAACTTTTATTAAAAACGGAAAAAACAATACAATAATATTATTCAAAGCCCATCTGAAGCTATGAAACCATAACATTTTCCCATCTTTCTGGCAATTTGTGGATTCCATCTCAAAAGTGCTGCGCCAGCTTGGCGGCCAAGAATGAATCAAGCTAGGTTAGGTTTCACTAAATTTTTAAATTTGTAAAGTATCCGGAAACTTTTAATTGTTTTCAACTGGCTGCTTGAGTCACTCCTAAAGATTCTACGAGCTCTTCTTGGGTTTGGGAACATTCTTCAGCGAGTAATGCTTTCAGTTCATCTTAAAACGTTTTTGGTAACCCAGGACGTTCATCATTTTCACAACCCAAAATCACCACTTGTAAATCATGAAAGCCATTTTTAACACGTTCGATCACTTGGAGCATGTTCACCATAAAATTCCAACGAATTTCAGCGCAGGTTTTCTTTATATGTTTTAAAGAAATGAAGAATAACTCCTCGCAAAAACATGTATTTCAATGAAAAAAATTATAATTGTTTATTCTTCTAATCAATGATCTATTACTGAAAAAGACGCAGAACGATGGAGAATAAAAATAATGCGTCACTTCTTGACAAACCGCGCGAATGTAGTTAATAGATCCAATATATTATATACAATAGAAAAATCTCCACTCAGACTTCCTGGCCTAAAAAATAAGTTAACAACGCTTTCCTTAAGAAATCAAAAATAAATTACAATAATAGTTAGATTTTAATCGCCTGACGAATGATTAAATATAGAATTATAGGATTAAAAATATTCAAACTGGAATATGTTTTTTGTGGATATGTCTGAGGAAAACTTTTGATGAAACTTCATACATTCGTCAAAACTTGAATATAGTACTGGGTGCTACAGTGCAAATGGACATACATGTCTGAACTTTTCTGAAAAGTGATCACGGTTCCGCGCTATTAATTTTATGTACGCATATTAGCCAATACTGAATCTATCTCAAATCCGTTGAAACGACCAATTTCATACCTTTAGATTTACCCAAGATGTTTGAACCTTCGTCTTATGGGCAGTCCAGAAAAGAATATCGAAATGATTCTGCTCGCCTGGCGTTCGTGGCATGTAACGGCAGTTTGAATGTTATCCTTTATTTGTCTTCGAAGTAGTTGCTTTAAGAATCAGTGAATATATCGAACCATTATTCTACTACGAGCTACCATAAATTAGCTATATTATTTGGTTCAACCGCTTTTCAAATACCACTTAAGAGATAAGTCAAGAATACGAAAATGATACTTATAACCTTCAATCACAAATCACTAACAAATAAAACTCGTAAACATTGGCGCTCATAAAAAAAACATAAATGCAGATGTTAGTTCGTCTATCATAAAAAGAAACGCACACTATCAAAATATTGAGTAATGTAATAAACAATGTTTGAATATGTTAAACTCACTAATGATGTAATAATTCCTTTGGCTTATAACCCTGACAAAATATGTTTTTATATTCGGCTTGATGTTAAAGGTCAGCTCGAATATTCCACGTAATTGATGATAATACTGATTCTGATCTATATGTATATCTGGCGACATTACGGTTTTGGCCGAACTCCCATTTGTGATGTGTGCAAGTTTTGGATTGACTGCAAACGGGTTTATGGAGTTATGTCAAAGGGCGACTCCGCTATTAGCAAACATCTTTTATAATGGTGTGAACACGATCGAACACAGATTCCTTATTGTGATATAGAAACAGTTATCACGAGATTTCCGTTCCGTTACTTTTTGGGAGTGCGTTTGACAGAAAATTGGACAGGACTGTGACGTCATGAGCGAAAAAAAATTTGTTTACATTTTCTGTAAAAGTTTGACAGTTCCTAGCAATGGTAACACAGAACACACTTAGATATGGATCACCAGACCGTTATGGATCGAGGAAGCGTTTTCAAAGATGTGTCTACCAAGATGTTTGAACATCAGCCTATCATCAGTAAATATGGGATACTTGAAGAGAAAGTGTTTATACGATTTCACCTCGCTTTTTTCATAAAAATAAATGGTGATCATCTAGCAGGTTCTGTTAATTAATGTCATATTATGTGAGACCAAAATCTACAGTGTATTTTTAATTAACTAAAGTCCAGTAAAATACTTCTAGAATCATAGTACATTTTAATAGCGGGAACAGGAAGAGTCTCCCCAACTAATAAGGACCGGAAGGAATTTGTATATTTCTCTTTAATAAAATCTTCAATTCGAAGCTGAGGGATCAATATGTTCAGGGTATTTTTCCGAAAAACCAAAATTTCGGCTATAATAAGCAACTAAGACTAACCTCTTGCGAGTTAGGAGGAAATAAAAGAGGTAATTTTAAAATTTATATGATTTAAAGATTTATAACTTTTATGGGTGTATACCTAAATACATAAAAATAGAGCATACTGCCTAAGCCAACGCCACATAAACCTCTGGCATAAGCTTTAAACAGTATTATTTTATTTTAGCACGAAAAGATCAGAGACTGATGCAAAGTGATGCATAAATGAGCTTTTAAAATGTTTTCTTCTAAGACTTTCTTCAAAGAATTCTGCTTACATATTTTGATTTCTTGCTTTATGTAATTTCTATTAAATTTAAAAATTTATTATAAATGAATTCAATTCACTATTATAAATACAACACTAAAACAAAATTTTACTTTAATGCTTGTTCACACTTTCGAATTGTATTTACTCAACACATTTTTTAGACAAAGTAATATTTTTGGATTCATTAATTTATTATTCAATTTATGTTCCAAAATATTTTGTTTTGCACTGAAAGACACAATGCGTAAAAACATTTGTCTTACACCTTTGCGTGGTGCCCCAAAACCATTTTTGTTGTATGCAAAACTTACCAGCTTAGCAGATGCCATGTTGAGGCTGCTTGAAGATCACAAAACTGACTGACACATGAAAAGCAATTTTGTTCAATATTTCGCTTTCGTTTCGAATTTGCAAACGCCGTAATTAATAGTTTATACTTAAATATCCAAATACCTGTATTCACATATGCATATCAATGAGTTTTTAAGACATCTGTGTTCTCAGCTAGATTAGAAGACACCAGCGGACATTCAAATGCTTATACATGTCTTGCATACGTACGTATATACATACATATATGTATATATATATGTATGAACTTGACTATGTACATTTGTTTTCCTATACAAAATCTAGTAGATTTTTAAAGTTTATACTCTGCGATTAAACCGGTCTCATATTAATATTGGACTTGAAACATACTCGTACTAATCTAACTGAAAATTATTATAGACGCCAACGAACCAACGAAAATGATGGCATTCCGTAATGAAAAGAGAATAAACAACACAAAAAGGGCAACAGCTTATGAACTACAACAAATGTCTAATAGCGCTAATGACGTTATTGGTAAGAAGAAGAGAATAAGAGAGAAGTATACGACATCATAAGGAATTAATAAGCGTCTATATAGTGTTTATATAAGTTGTCAAAACATGAGAAATCCCACAGCCAATTAATTGTGGGGGGCAGTTGGATACATCAGTTATCCGCTGTTAAAACGATTTTTTCCCTCTTTCTATTCAAAATAATTAGCGATTGATTTTCCTTTGTTTAATTAAGGATACATTTTTTAGAGCTGTCACCGCCATATTTGTTCGACATGTCTTACAAACGACAAGTTTACAAAACAAAATAAAGCTGTCATCAATATACACGGTGTGTCCCACAAATAACCGAACTTTATATTAAGTCATACAAGATGCAGCGTTATCTATTTCAAACGCACCTACATAACATCATGTAAATCGGATGACATATGTTAAAGTTACACCCATCTCAATAAAAGAAAAAGTGTGCAATTGTTCCATTTTTACAAAAAGCAAATATACGATTTTGTGTTAAAGTTGAAAAACTCGCTGGGACATGTGAATTGAAGAAAAAAGTTTATGGTAACGATGGTAAGAGTCGCACTCTAGTTTATACGTGGGTTACACGATTTAAAAATGGTCTTGAGTATTTTAACGACGACCAAAGGTCAGGTCGTACACGATACAAAGTATCACTATGAGAATGTTGACTTAATGATTAAGTACGAGTAAGAATATTGTTTGGAGAATTTTGACTGAAGACCAAAAAAGTGAACGACTTTTCGGTGAAAAAACGGTCTTCTGTCATCAACCAGCCTGCATATTTGCCTCATCAGCATTTTTATGATATCCCAGACATTTAAGCAGCCGTATCGTTCCTTCAAATTTAAAGATTATAAGTTAGACTTTTATACAATTATTTTAGTGTTATAACGACAGAAAGTGTTCTTCAAATAATTTCGTGAAATTCTGCTGAGTTGCCAGTCTTTGGCTGGCGATAGTTCAGGTACATTGAGGTTATTTTGGCCGACTCTTATGAGAAAGATAATCATATGAAATATCAATCCACTCACGCATTAAATTTTCTGATTTGATAACGTTTATCCACAGATAATTGACGAAAAGTGTAAATATTTTAAATTACCATTTGCATAGTCTGAAAACTTTTTGAATTATCTATACATATATTCAGTATTGTATTACTCAAGACGGCCGAAAATTTCTAAAGGTACTGATAAAAAAAAATTCGCAGGGAGTACATTTTTAAGCTATTGCATATCTTTTATCTCGGGCTTTTAACGCAGCGACCGAATCAAGAAATTCCGTAACGGAAATAGACCTAACACGATCACAAAATATGCGCAGAAGGTTTGCATACCTTTAGTCGTATTTTTCGCATATCTCAAGCGGAACAAATCAATTGAAGAGCTGGGTGATTCAAAAATAATAGATACAACTTTTTTTTTGCCAATAAAATACAAAATATGGAATTTAATAAAAATTTAATTAATAAAAAATTAATTAATCAATATTCGGAGCCATAATATTAATAGCATTATTATTATTTTGGTAAATAGCTACCCCACCTTATGGAACAGTACAAGTATTTCGTTTGAATTGAACAATACAATTGAAATTAGGTATTTCAATCGGATTATTAATAGTAATAAATTTTCACTTACCTTGGCTGGCGATTTCAACATCAACTTCACTAAAAAAAATTAAAAAGGTTGATAACTGAATAATGACCCACAAGAATCCACAACAAAATATGGGACCAACATTCACGAGGTATTTTCCAGATATTTAGAGGATATCAAGTCTCAAACTAATGTTTCTTATTTCATGTTGTTTATATAATCACAGCCAAAATCTGTCAAATATATATTGTGTTCCCAATGCTGGTAAATTATTAAATAGAAATTTTGTAAGAGTTAAGCGTTCTTTTACCACTCGCTTACCAAAAAAGTAGATTCAGTCTCAGCAGAGAAAATGAGAGGACTGATGTTAATTGACATAGAAAGATCATTTAGTGAGAAAAGTTTAGTTGCTAAATCTGACAATTCAATTCGTTTTATAGTTATTAGTCACACATCAAATGCATAATATATATTAATATAAAAAGCAGATAATATATTCTAAATCTAAATCAATCACTAACCATTTTATGGAGACTCCAACTAAATGTTAATAGAAATTTTATACTATACATTAACCACCAAATTCACAGAAAGCATACTGATACTTGTCAATTTATACGATTTCATACGTATAATATGTATGCATTTCCCATCCCTTCTTTTTCGTATTCGGTGGTCATCATCCGAAGTTAAATGGAAATGATTTGTAGATTTGTGCACAAACGTGTCAAGGGGAGTGATGTTGTTGGCGGAATAAGAATGGAAGTACATACGTTCTTCAACCAATTTGGTTTCTTTACTTAGCAAATCTTCGATAATAACAGGGGGAGAATTTAATGCATGGTCTACTGCTTGGGGTAGCAGAAGCACGAACCATCGTGGACGTCTTATCCTAGAATTCTTGAGTCAAACGAACCTTACAATAATAAACAGTGGCACGCAAAAAACCTATCAAAAGGGTAATAAAGGTACTGGTGAAGTCAGCAATTACTCGTAGCAAAAGAGGCTGTTTCGAAAAGCTTTGTGAAGAAGCAAACATAGACCCCTGGGGAACCGCGTACAAAATATGTACTATGTCGAAATTCAAAAATATTTCGCTGCAACCTAAGAACGAATCATTTATGAGGAAAGTCGTCGACGCATTATTTCTGGCACATGAACCCAATCCTATGCTAAGTGAAACGATTGTACAGAGCCCCCTATTAGTCACAGAAGAAGAACTACTGGCTATCGCTAAAAAAATTAAAATCCCAAAGCACCTGGAATAGATGGTATACCAAATATAGCCCTAAATGAAGCCATGATTCTGAGACTCAGTTTGTTCGTTAAAATGTACGATTAGTGTATATTGGTAGGCGTATTTCCCGACCCGTGAAAGGTGCAGCGTTTGGTGCTACTCCCAAAACTGAAAAAGCCACCTGAAGAACCTTGATCCTATCAACCTCTATGTATGCTCGACACATTTGGTAAAGTGTACGAAAGCATAGTAAGAATCCGCTTGGAGCAATCCACAAAGCCGGCGGAGTACCAGAGAGACAATACGGCTTTATAAAAAAGAGGTCCACTGAGTGTCAGATAACTTCACAGCCACATCTGAATTATTTTGGTGTAATATTGGAATCAAGGCTTAAATTTAAATAGCACTTTTAAAACATGACGGGTAAAGCCAATAAATTCCACAATTCAGAAAAAAGGAAGGAAAGGATCAAAAGCATCACAATGGGGCAGCCACCGTGGCAAACCTCATCCAAAGAACAGTGGACCCACAGATTAATACCAGACATCATACCGTGGGTAGATAGAAGACCTGGATTTCCACCTGACCCAAATACTAACAGGACATGGGTGATTTAGAAAGTATCTATTGCAAACTCATCATGATGTGTGCATAGACGACTCTGAACACGTATTTTTTCTGTGCCCCCGTTTTTTATATATCAGAGAAAAGTTAAATATACACTCGGCGGTAGTCTAACAGTGGAAACTTTGATAGCACATATGTGTCAGTCCTCTGATTAATTGGAAAGCTGTCAGCGAAGCGGCAGCTCTAATTATGATTAAACAGAGATACTAACAACAGATTAAGAGTCGGTCAGTCCGTACCGTAGAGGATACATAAATACTTGTACATACATACATATCTCATTATTAATTTTAAGTAATAGCTTTACCGCGACAGTCCCCGAGTGCCACACGTATTTATTTATTTTTTCTTATCGTATATAAAACTTCCTGATGTAAAATACTATGGACACTATAAGTTTGAGGCTACAGACTATAAACATAAACATAGGCAGGAATATTATTTGATCTTTAAAATTATTATTTCAAGAACCTCATGCGTGATAACCTCTATAAAGAAAACAAAACTCTTCGCCGTATACAAATAGTTACACCCGTACTCGTATGTTTAAGCTTTAAATATACAGTAGTAGACTCCATTCATAAAACGAGCAAAAAATATAAGCACATACATAATGTCAGTAAATGGCAGGTATTCATATATTTTACTGACTCTAATCCGCATTTTTGATAGTCCCTTGGAGGACCTTGCATCAAATAGTCATTATAAAAATTTTCTTTTAAACTCAAATAAATATTTAATAATGTCTGAATAAAAACCGTATGTTTCCTTTTTTTCTTCAAAATAAATTTCCGAAGTTAAGTCATGTTTTGATCTCTGGACTGGTCTAAACGAAAAACGGTGGCATGGTGTATGATTTTTCCTAACTAAGACAGATCTAACAAAATAAAAACAAATGCTTGTCATCACAAAGATTTATCAATAACTTCGTTGACCGTCTTCATAGAACCACCATAAAAAACCTAAAACCATAAAACCTTTCCGTCCGTCCTCCTGTTTCTTTATGATATTTATAGTTTTTTTTTTTAAATCACTGCCAAAATAAGGCAACAGAGTTAGATATAGGGTTATATATATATAAATGATCAGGATGAAGAGAC